ACCAACGTCAGCTTCTCAGACAGCTACTCTGACGCACGTTCCATGGTCTTTCTCAACAGACTCACCTTCTGAGGCAGAAATCCGTAAGGGTGTCACAGAGCGCCGAGCTCCGATGACGTTCCCCAGCTCCAGTTAAAAATTGTTGAATAAAGCTTCATAGAGTATTGGTAACACTGTTCTCCAAAGTCTGGCATATTTAGCAAGTCTCTTCTTCGTGGGGAGAATCGACTGTCGTTCCCGTCTTCAAAAAGGGCTCGCGCAGTGACTGCAGCAATCATATAAGCGTGATCTCAATAGGGTCAAAGCTGTAAGCGTCCGTTATTCTTCGTAGATTGTACACGATGCGTGAGGAGCACACCCGCGAGGAGGAGGCTGGGTTTCGGGTCGGTTTTGGTAGCATCGATTAAATCTGCACCCGTCGACAGTAGCTACAGCACCGTCATGCTTATCACAGACCAACGATTATTGTGTTCTTAGACATTTGCGCGGCCCTCAACTCCATCGATAGGATCTCACTGTGGAATTGTTTGTTAAGTTATGGAGTACCAGATAAGTATGTGACGATCTTAAAACAGTGGTACCGTAGTACCTTATGGTCAGACCATTTGGCGATAGAAGTATCGGTGTTATATGTGCTCTGCACCATCCAAATGCAAATAAAATGCACAAGACTGGCAGGAACCCATGCCTGCATTCATCCTCTCTGGCGATCAGATAAAAGTCGAGAGCTTATTCACAGCTGGAGCTGGTGTTGGGGAAAAGCGAAAGCAAGAGCAGCTTTAGCAAACCTTCATCTGTGGCGCTGCCATGACATTCGACTGTCCCCTAAGGGGAGGGCGTACAGCGGTTCGTAGTGTTTTGTTTTACGGTTGCGCCGTGGTGATCAGACCATGACCTGGTGCAGATGTGTGGAGAAGCTAACCTCAGCATTGGGTTCGTGTGGTGCAGCTCGCCCTATAATAGACAGAAAACATCAATCAAAAGAACTATTCATTCGTTCATTCATATTTCCTTCCTATTCTCTGTATCCCCATTTCCAATTCATCTTTCTGCGCCCCTTCCAGTTATTATTATTGTTTTGCGTCAGCACTATGTTTCTTCTCAAGCCGATATAATATACATAAATATGCCAATTAAAGTAAATTTACGGAATGTGACAAAATGACTTTCCGGAGGCAAACGCGCACACAGTTGATGTGCAAACAAACAGAAGTGAATGCAAACATATTCAGGAGTGGAACATCCACGTTACTAAACACCGCATCACCACACAGGTATGCTGCTAGGAAACACCGCTGAATTTAGTACGTGCAACGACACACCTTACCCAGAAGTAAACATTATTGCTCGAACGAATACCCATAGTGAAGACCCAGGACACGAAGACATGTTTCATTTTGTAGGTGACTAGTGCCGGTTGTAAAACGCGATGGCAGCGTTGAGAACGAAACAAGGAAGTGGACACATACCGATGTAAAAAAGAAAGATATACATATGGCTCGTTGATACGGGAAGATAACTCATTTAGTACGGTTCAAATTTCAGAAAAAGTACAGTTTGGGTATTGGCCTGGCCGCCTTATCATAAATAAAAAAGATGCCTTCATAAAATCACTTGGAGACTGTAACTCATTCAAAATGTTCAGAGTTAGCTTTCACATAAAATTACACAACTATCGTCGAAAAAAATGGGCAATACAACAACGAAGACAGAGAGGAAGGAATTGATAGATGAGGGTGGACCTAATAATCGGAGGGCATGAGTAATAGAAATCGAATTAAAAATAAACCAAAGTAGACTCAAATCAACCATCCGCTAATTAAGTTAGCCATTAACAATAGGAGCTGTGGGAAATAACCTTTTTGTTGCCTAATCGTGAGCCCCGGAGATAGACCAAAAGTGTTTTCATGTACATTCGGTATTTTAAGTAACAAGGAATTTTCCAACCACTTACGCTCACGTATATGATCCCAATCAACTCCGTTAAAAAACGGATGAGCTTTGAAATCTGACAAACCGTTTCTGCCAAGTCGCCGTTTACGATCGCAAATTAGGCGTCGCATTAAATCCCGAGCAGGTTCTGAAACTTCGGCTGCATCTTCGGGAATAGTGAAATACTCCTAGTGGGATGAAGTGTAAGGAAACGGTCGATGGCTATTTATTACTAATATAGATCAAAATATACTTCAAAGTGAATGATAAACATATAGTGAAACACGTCTATCATATTTCAAACGCGCCTGAGTTTAGACTGTGACAAACAAAGTACGATACAGTAGTCTATACAACAAAGAAGAAAGCCTGTTATTAGCTAGTGGGTAGGATATTGCCAGATTACGTGAGTTAAGGCTAAGTGAGAGAGTAATAAGAGATTCGGAGGCCAGACAAATAAAATACGAATATGTGCATAGTGAAACAGAGAGACCTATAAAAATTCAATGTGATTTTAAAAGTGTACAGTGCTGTCAGTGGAACTTATAGATTTGATTAGTAAACAGCCCTATCCTCGCGAGGATAGTGGCATCGGTTTTCTCCCAGATGATAGGCTGTCTAATCTAGAGTATGCAGACAACATTGTGCTGCTAAGTGAAGATCCAGATAAGTTACAAGATTTTCTGGATAGTTTGAGTGCTAATGTAACCAGGTTCGGTATGCGTTTTGCACTTTCAAAGCGCAAAATGCTACTACACGTTTGGGTTGGTTCAGCACCCAGTCTCACCCTAACTGGGGAAGTAATAGAGCAAGTGGACAAGTTTTATCTGGGCATCTACATCTCACCCAGTAGACGTATTACGGATGAAGTGTCATCTCGCATACAGAAGGCTCGGTTGGCGCCGCATAACGGAACTGGTCGAACTGCGGCAGCATACATCCGACCCTTCCACAGACAGCCGGATGTCGTGACAGCGTCACAGATGTCTGAAGTTGGCAAATAACAACCGAACGAGCTGACACTTCATCCGTGATGTGTCCACCGGGTAAGATAGAACTGCCCAAATAATAAAACTTATCCACTTACTCTATTACTTTCCTAGTTAAAATCAGACTGTGTGCTGGACCAACCCAGTCTCGTAGTAACATTTTACACTCTGAAGAGGCAAAACATATGCCGAACACGGCTACGCTGGCACTCAAGCTATTCAGAGAAGCTTGCAAACTAACATACGCCTTCACTTAGCAGAACAATGTCGTCTGCATACTCTAGATTAGACAGCCTATCATCTGGGAGAAAACCGATGCCACTATCCTCGAACGAGGATAGGGCTGTCACCACTCTCCGTGGTGAATTCGGATGAGAAAGTGCAGTAAGGCGCGCACTCGGCTTCGGCTATTAGTATAAAGGGATCGTAATATTGAAATAAACTTCTCGGGTATACCCTTCGACTGAGTCAAAAGCCACTTTCAAGTCGAGGAACACAGGGTTAGTGGGTCTGCGAAAAGAATGTCGGTGCTCCAGAATTCAGCGCACAGTGAAGATGTAGTCGATACAAACCAACCTGGTTCCCACGCGTGCACCGTTCATGTGCGGCAGACAACCGACGGAGTACGGTCTTAATGAGAAGCTTAGAAGCAATGTTGATTAAACTAATTCATAAAAGGATATGTAACCTTTCTTGAAAACCAGTCAGATGGTCAGTTTTTAATTTCAGTTTAAACAATCATTAAGCATGCATTTCGGTGCGACGCTTTTGGTTGCCCATCTGGATGAACAATAGAAGGAAAACAGGAAGGTTGAAATTAGGATCGAAGAGAAAACTGAGTTTAGTACACTAATGATGGAGAGAAATTGAGATGCACGATGATCGATTTGCACCATTCATATGAAACGTTTTCGCTCTACCATACCGACCCGTTTCGTCAACTACAAGACTAACGCTGAACTTGCATCAATAAGCCAGCGGGCAGCTATCTGGGCGGGAGACCTTGTCTTTCGATAGACAACTAAATTCTCAGAAAACCTCCATTTCAGATGGAGAACTTTTTTTATTACATACCAAGGCGTGATGAACAGTAGACAAGGTGAACCCCTTACTCACGAGGATCTGCTGTTCAGTGGAGGAAACCGGCAACCTAAACCCCTGGACTTGGAGTGGTGAACCACATAAGGCCCGGATAGGTTAGGTGTGGTATTGAACCGGACGGCAGCAGAGCTGCCTACCACCAAAGTCGAGCGGCGGTGGCGGGGCTAGAACCTCGGACTATAGGGTCCAAAGCACGCCGATGACCACTATGCCACCACCACCACAACTGGGAATATTTCCCCAGACGAGGCAGGGGGGATAAGTCAGATTTCGATGGGGGCCAGGTTAACTAAGCCTCGAAATGCTCAGCTCATCAACCAAGACGGCGCTGCTGATGGCGAATCAGTGTTATCGTTTTCCTTAATTACTTTACTTACTTTACCTAGTTTCCTGGAGCCCGTGTTCCTAATTAGACGAAAAGGAGTGCAACTATTACCGATAGCCGAAGCTTTCTCCATCTCTCTCAACTTTCCTACCCACCGATTCTCGCAGTCACTAGCGACTCTTGATGAGCTGACGTTTAAGGGATTTGGGCGCTGTTATATGTGGCATCAAGAGGATGGATTCTGCGGACGTCTAGCAGGGCAGCAGAGGTCGACGAGATCCATCGTTTGTGTTTTGAGTCTTGAAGGAAAACTGGAAGATGAAGGGTTGGAGACATTGAAGCACATAGCAGCAAACTGAGAGCAGTAGCGTTCTTGTTGTCACTTCCTATCAGGCAAGAATTCTGGAAAAGGTGTGTACAATACGTGTTGGTCAGAGAGATTTGCTTTCTTTCCACATCTCCCAAGGGAGGCTCAGTTCTCGGCCATTTAGCACATTCTCATTTACCTCGTATGCTTTGTGGGCTTAGGAAGGATCAACGAAGTTCACTTTAGTGTACTGCGTTGTAGAATGACGATTGTTTTTCGGCTATCGCTTTTTACAATGCCTCCAACTAACCGGTTGAATGATCTTCCGGAGTTCAAGTAAAAACAAGAAAAGCTTCCCTGCGTAATCCACCAATCCATTTAGTCATCTATCGCATTCCGTCATCTATAGACCGCCATGGGGTTCCCATATTCTGAAACAGTAGTAGATACAGCGAGCCGTGCGACCGATTTTTAGGCATATCGCATCGCGAAAATCATGGAAATCGGCCATCAAATCAAGCCCCCAGAAAGCAGTAACAAAGGAAACTCACTTCGAAATTCATGATATGACCGTAAGTTTCGATTAGATTTTCACTGTAGAATGGGGTCTCGCCGAATAGCATTTCGTAAATGACCACGCCCAAAGACCAAAAATCGCATTCCACACCGTAAGTTCCATGGTCATCTTCTGTGGCGCGCAGGATCTCCGGTGAAATATAATCCGGAGTACCAACGGCTGTACTGTTTTTTACTAACCCGTTTTCGCCTATTTTAAGGCAAGAGCCGAAATCGGCCAAAACAATATGTCCAGAGCTAGGGAAAGGTTAAACACACCAGAGATAAGTTACTCGCAGTGGCTATTGCCAGATAAATTATAAACCAATACATAAAAGATTAACAAACAGCATATACGATAATCAAAAGGTATATATTCTCTAATAAATAGAATACTTTCGAAACACCAACGACGAGGTTCGCCGAAGAATCTTCACCGCAGACAATCACAGTCGTCTATTAAGTGCCGTCATCTCGTTACAGAGACTTCGTAGCGGTTCTTCATCCGACAGTTTCGCAACGGCAGTTTTCTTTTCCTAACACTTGTTCTTCTCCTGGTTTCCTGATAGATCCATTCAAGCTGGTCGTGATCATCAAATCACGTAGCAGAAGCACTTTCACCCTACACTGGCGATAAGCAACAGGACGGGTTCAGTTTCCAACCAGTCCTGTATAATTGAGGATTATCAGGACATGGTTACACAACCGTGGCATACTTATCAGAACCATCAAGGTTCAGATATCAAGTAGCGACTAAACCTCTCGATCAGGTAGCTAAACTACCGCTATGGTTTTTCCTTCTCACTTAAGAACCATTCTCCACCGGACACAATCAAGTGTACCATCGAGATTAAGCATTTATCGCCATTAGTTGGCGATAGCTATCCTCTGAGGAAAGTTTCTTAATTAGATATAGCAACTTGGACATTTCCAGGAGCTCGAAAAGCGTGCACCGACACAATTACCCACGGTGAGATCTGTATCGCACGCTTTCGTTGCATTGATCAGATCCACTTTCAGGTTTCCGCTGCCGTTGCTTAAATAACAGCCTAGGCATATCCAAACCTACCTCCAACTTTTCGGAAGATTCAGAATATATCGTTTTCTACAAACGCAATCTTTGGTTCTGTTTCCTTTTGGGACAGATATTCAAAACGAACGTGAGCAAACATTAGTGACAGGTTCTGACGAAAATCAGCAATCGTCGAGTCACTAAAACTTCGATGGCTAGGACATGTGTTGCGGATGCGGGCTCAACGATTGCCCCCTCGAGTTGTTTGCGCAAGCAGGCACTAACTGGAAGCGGCGACAAGGTGGACAACGAATAACCCGGGCGAGAACGATGAAGGCGTTAGCCTCAAAACTGGCAGTGGTAGGACGCTCTAGACCCTCAGGTTGGGGTCAGAAAACAACAAGACACTAGCAGACATGGCGCACCTGTTGCGAGACTCTTATTCTTTGATTCATATTCAAACCGCTTTCACATCTCTTTTTTTTATAAGTTTCGGCACATTTGCCAATCGTATGTAATTGGTTACCTGTTAAATATATAATAAACTTTGTCAACAGACAGAAAATTTTGTGATCCAAAAAAAATATCCAACTCAAAATCTAAGATATACAACTACCATCATAGCTCAATGGTTGAAACTGATGAGACCTCAAGAGCATGAGAAAATATGAATCAACTTGTTGTTGCACGAACGGTGAACGATTGAAACGGGCCACGATAAGAAGGGGTTCTGTTGCATTTCGTTGATCAACATAAAGCAGTGTACCAATGTGTAGGATGCAGTTTTGCCGAATTAGCCTAATAAAGGAGTGTGTGTATACGAGCTAGCTGCACTTTCAGTGATCTGCCTTGTCTTATAGTATTACCAAGACATTTTGCAAAAAGCACGAATGATAAACAAACACTATCATCGAATTACATCTTACCACTCTAACAGAACATTGTCTGGTTTTATGTCACGATGAACGTAACCAAGCTGGTGTAGTGAATCGATTGCCAGCACGATTTCCGTAATGTAGAACCGGGCGATGTCCTCGGGGATCTTGTCATCAAATTTACTCAACATGGTCAACATGTCACCACCGTTGTAAAAGTCCATGAGAAAGTACTACGAATAAATAGATGCACATTCCACTTACCAGAAACTTTTCATCTTGAAAAGCATGATGTAACTTAGCTATCCAAGGGGAGTTCTTCACCATTGCTTTTACCATGACATCCCGTTCTTCTTGAAAACAAGCGCGCTGGGCAAATCAGAATTGGGACACCAAACTTACATCAGATCTTTTCAGCATATCATACTTGTGCAGAGATTTGAGTGCGTATATCTGTCCATTGTTCTTCCATCTAACCACAGACACCTCACCAAATGCACCTGATCCAATTAGGCGGATGGTTTCGAACTCATCGCGTGATATCCAACAACGTTCAATCCGCTCAACATACGGTTTCACTAGGAAAGTAACGGAAGGACGTATTAAATTACCTGCGTTTGAGAATTTGGCGCAATTTCGTTCTGATCTATGCTGCGGCAAGCGGCACTCATACGACAAGCACACGATTGTATCCAACAGATATTCAATGCTGACAGATTCATTGTCAAACAACGGAGATCTTTCCGTGTAAAGAGATACTAATTCGTCAATTCTCTCTTTTAACGGACGAAGCTGCCATTTCATTATGCCAATCAGAAATTATACCAAAATTTAGCAAATTTAACACACTGACATTTAGTAGCGCAGGATTTTAAAGAAGCGCGTTGAGCCAGGTCAGGTTTCAGTTCAGTTCAGTTCAGTTCCAATCCAATCCAATCCAATCTTCCAGGACATAGAGGCCTCGGCCT